TGGTCTCCGAAATACAAAATAATAACTATCTGTTCTGTTACAGAGATTTTCCAGCCCCTTTCTACAGTAAAATTCTTTTCAAAGCATCAAAGCTATTAAACAAGTGTAAAAACAAAGCACACTTCCCAACTCCTTCTCTGAGATCAGTATTATCCTGATATAAAACCAGACAAAGATATCATAAAAAAATCCGTAGACCAATATCTCCTATGGTTACAGAAGAAAAAATATTCAACAAAATAATAGGAAACTAACATCAGTAATATGTATGAAGGATTATACACTGTGGCCAAATGAGATTTAGCCCAGGAAAGCAAGGTTGATTTACACAAGAAAGTCATTTAATGTAATACATCATTGTGTTATTCAACTTTCTATCACTATAATGAAATGCCTGAGACAATTAACTTGTAAGGAGAAAAATTCTATTTTGCTTGCAGTTCTAGAGGTTCCAGTCCAAAATTGGGCAGACCCATTGCTTTGAGTCTCTGGAGGAGACACTGACAGAAAGTACTTAGCAGAGCAAACTACTCGCCTCCCAACCAGGAAGTAAAATGTGTGAGACTGGTTGGGCTGAACCCTCACACTCACCTTTGGGAGCACTGTCCCAATGATCTAAAGACTTCCCACAGGATCTTTCCCCCAAAGGTCCTACCACCTACCAATAATGCCATCCTGGGGACCAAGCCTTTAACATTTGGATCTTTTGGAGGATACTTATTTAAGTCATAGCAGCTACATTCATAGAATAAAAGATAAAAACTATGCTATCATCTCAAAACAAAAAACATTTGCAAACCTAACATCCTTTTATAAAAAAAAACAGCCAACCATCTAGGAATACAGAGGATGCTTCTCAACATGATAATGAATATCTATGGAAAAACCCACAGCTATATCATACTTAATGTGAAAGACTGGATGCTTTTCCTCCTAAAACCAGGAATGAAACAAGAATGTTTGCTCTCATCACTTCTGCTCAACATTGTAGTAGAGGTTGTACCAGGTCAATTATTTAAGAAAAATAGATTGAGTAATCCACATTGGAAAGGAAGAAATAAAACATATTTGCAGATAAAAGTCATCTTGTATGTAGAAAACCCTAAGCAATATACTAAAAAACTACAGAACTTCTAAATTAGTTCAGCAATGTGGTAGAACACAAGATCAATATACAAAAAAAAAATTATGTTCCTATAGACTAATGATGGGAAATCTAAATGCTAAGATAACAATCCCATTTACAATCATAGGAAAATTAAGAAAGTGTCTAGGAATAAATTTAACAAAAGATGCAGTACTTGAATGCTGAAAAACACAAAACATTTTTGAAAGAAATCAAAGGTTTGAATAAATGGGAAAGCATCCCATGTTCATGGGTTGAAGACTTAACATCATCAAGACAGTAATATTCCTCAAACCGATCTATAGATTCAATGCAATCACTATCATAAATGCCAGATTCCTTTTGCTTAAATCGACAAGTCAGTCCTAAAATTCATATGGAAATTCAAGGAACCCCGAAGAGCTAAACTAATATGGAAAAAGAAGAAGGAAGTTGGAGAATTCATTCTTTACAATTCAAAACCTACTGCAAAACTACAATAATCAAGACAATGTAGTGCTGGGGTTGTGGCTCAGTGGTAGAATGCTCGCCTAGCATGCATGAGGCACTGGGTTTGATCCTCAGCACCACATAAAAATAAAATAAAGGTATTGTGTCCACCTACAACTAATAAATAAATAAACAAATAAATAAATAAACAGATGAAAAGAATTGGCACATAGGGGGCTGGAGTTGTAGCTCAGTGGCAGATCCCTTGTCTAGCACGTATGAGGCACTGGGTTACATCCTCAGCACCACATAAAAATAAATAAATAAAATAAAGGTATTTTTTTTAAAGAAGGCAAGTGAAGCTAAAGAGTCTATTTAGGTTTGAAAAAAATAAGAATTGACATATAGGAGCTGGGGTTGCAGCTCAGTGGCTGAGCTCTAACATGCGTGAGGCAAAAAAAAAAATTGACATACAGATCAATGGAATAGAGTTGAGAGCCAATAAACTAACTTACATATTCAATAATTTTTTATCAAGGGTACCAAGATAATTTAAGGAAAGAAAGAGGAGAGTTCTTTTCTTTCCTTCATCAAATGGTAAAATAAAAACAACAACAACAAAAAACTAGGTATCCATAGACAAAAGAATTAAGTTCGATTCTGATCTCATACCACACATCAAAATTAACTGAAAATGTACCCTATACCCAAATGTAAGAATTAAAACTATGAATCTTTTAGAAGAAACCAGGAGTCTTGTGATCTTTGGCTTATGCAATTTTTTCCAAGATATAATATCAAAAACAAGGGCTAGAAGAAAAAAAAAATCGAGAAATTGGCTAATCAAATTTAAAAAAAATCTTTGTGTATCAAAAGACACTATGAAGAAAATAAAAAGACAGAATGAGAAGGTATTTGCAAATCATACGTACCAAAAATTATACAAACAACTCTCACAGCTCAATAAGAAAAACACAAATAACTCAATATAATAATTGGCAAAGTTTTTTTTTTTTTTTTTTTTTTTTTTGTGAATAGACAGTTTTCCAAAGGAGCCACAAAAATGGGCAGTAAACACATGGAAAAAAATGTTCAGTTTCCTTAGTCACTAGAGAAATGCAGATCCAAACCACAATGGGCTAGTATTTCTTACCCACTGCTATAGCGGCAATGAAAAATGCAGATAATAACAAGTGTTGGTGAGGTTGTAAGAAGTCAGAATTCTCATGCACTGGATGGTGGGAGTATAAAACAATGCAGCCACTTTGGAAAGCGGTTTGGCAGTTCCTCAAAATGTTAAGACAGGGAGTTATCATGCGAGTGCTGTGGTTGGATAAGTGTCCCCCAGAGGCCCACGTGTCAATGACGTGATCAGCAGCTTGTGGCACTAATGTTGGCATCTTTAAGTGGTGGAGTCAAGTGGGAGGAAGTCAGGTCCCTGGAGGTGAGCCCTTGAAGGTGATATTGAGATCCCAGTCCTTCCTGTCTTTTTCTCTTCTTCCTTCCCTCATCCCTTCCTGTTTCTCCTCCTCCTCTTCCTCTTCCTCCTTTTCCTCCTCCTCTCCTTCTGCTCCTTCTTCTATTTCTTCTCCTTTTCCTCTTTCTTTCTCTCTCCATTTTTGCTTCCTGGATGCCATGAGGTAAGAAGCTCCCTTCATCACATGCTCCTGTCACGATGTACTATTCACCACAGGCCCAAAGTGACAGACAATTAATCATGGACAGAAACCTCCCAAACTGTGAGCCAAAGTAAGTCTTTTTTTTTTTTTTTTTGCTCATAAGTTGGCTACCTCAGGTATTTTGTTACAGTGATGAAAGCTGACTAGTACACCAAGCAATTCCACCCTTACATATATTGAAGATAAATGAAAATATATATCCATACATAAAAACCTGTATGTGAATATTCACATCAGCATTATTCGAAATAGCCAAAAATTTGGAACAACCTCAATTATCCTTCAACTGAAGACTACAAACCTGGTATCTTCATACACTGGAATAATATTCAGAAATTAAAAACAAATGAGTACACATATCCCAACACAGATAAACCTTGAAAAGACTATGCAAAGTGAAAGAAATCAGTGACAAAATACCATGTATTATATGACTCCACTTAGATGAAGTTTCTGAAATCAGTAAATCCACAGAGATATAAAGCAGATTAGTGTCTGCCCAGGGTTGGAGCAGTGGTGTGGGGGAAGCGGAATGAGCAGAAATGGTGAAGGACTGCTAATGTGTACAGGGTTTGGGGGGGATGGAGGTGGTTGAAAATGTTCTAAAATTAAATTGTGATGATTTCATAATTCTGAATATACTAAAAACCACTGAAGTATACACTTGAAATGGTTGGATTTTATGGTATGTGAAATATATTGCAATAAAGCTGTAAAAAATACGTACAGACATTTTCAGATATGCAAGATTTCAAAAAATTAACCTCCCGCTTATTTTTTCACAAGAAATGACTTGCAGATGTAGTCTTCAAAAAAAGGAAGGAATAAACCAAGAAAGGGAAAACATGGGATCCAGAAAACAAGAGATTTAACAGAAAAGAGACAAAGAGAATTCGAAGATTAATTAGGGGAAGAGAAGTCCCAGTAACAGTTGTGTAACATGCTTACAGAGCTATGAATTATGCAAAATAGAGGGACAAAGGACACCAGGAAAAAAAAAATCTCTGAATGGAAAAAAAAAAAAGAATAAGAAAAGAAAAAAGAAGCAGACAACCTCATGTTTCTACCTCTCTCCATGGAGTTGGAGAATGAACTTATGATAGGTACATGGAAAACTAAGTAAGACAATAAACAAACATTGAAGCAACTATTAACTCCAGGTAAAACATAAAATTGTCTTAGTGTATCTCCTAGGCCAGCAGCAAATCAAATTACATTTCATGATAATAGCATCATAAACCTTGAACATTGATTTCACCCACAAGGTGACAATATTGGGAAGACAGGGAGAAGTGACGTTGAGAGAGTTGAGGACAGTGGGAAGGGGTGATATAAGAGAACCTAAATCTCATCTTCCATACAGGAACCAAAAAATTAAAACCGAAAAGCCAAGAACAAGCAGTCTCATCTGCTACTTAGAAATAAAGGGAAAAAAATTTTAAAAACAGTAGAAACAAGAATAATTGAAAACAGTTGACTCTAGGAAGCAGGAATTCAAAATAGGGCAAAGGATTGACATTTTTCATTATAAATGTAGTAGTACTACTTAATTAAAAAAAAAAAACTACTTGTGCACTGGTCTGATTTTTTTAAAAAGAAGAATTTATTTTTAAAAGAAAGTTGCCGGTGGAATTGGAGCCAGTCTTTCCAGAGGAGCTCCTCAGCTGTAGCCCTCCAACCTGTTCTTCCTTGACTTCAGTCCTCATCAGCCTCTCTCCCGGTAATTGACTTATCCCCCTAACCACCTGCTCCTGTCCATCTCACAGGCTATGCTTCAACTTCTGCACCTGCTCCACTTGCAGTCATCCAAGTCCGTTGCCTGTCTCTCTCGACCCTTCCTTCTGCTTTAGGATCCAAGATGTGAGCCTGGGCCAGCTAGATTACCAATCTGTCAGCCCCAGCCAATTAGTCCGCTCCAGTCGGCCTCTCTTAGCTGTAAGTATCCTGTGTGTCCATCAGCAGCAGCTGTCATCTCTGCCTCTCCCTGTGCCTACAGCAAGCAGCGCTGAGCACAACTGTCCTGGGTGGGCTGGCAAGATGGGCACAATGTCCTCTCCTAGGAGCCAGATGCTGCATCTGCTAATGAAGCCACAGAATGCACAGGATTATCAGCCACCAGGTCACTCACTTCCCGACTCATCCTGAGTCCATTAAACTCATGCTCTGTCTCCAACTATGTTGCCAAGTCCCCCCTTTCCTGGACTGATATAATTGATATTTTAACATAAATGCAGCCTATTCACCTATATAATATTTTATCTTGTTTTTTTTTTTTTTTAATCGCGTTGTTTTAATTCAGCTGAGAACTACAAACATACAATGCAGACTCGAAGCATTTCTCAGGCACATGACTGGCAGGGTGGATATGATCCTCCCAGACCCTTGCCACCCCATGAAGAGGCATGAATGGGCTGAACATGGATCCTAGCGTCTATTTATATGATCCAGGAGAGGGACTTTGGTGACCCATCTTCTTGCATATTAATGATGGATGTGGGAGGGGATGGATCCTGAGCTTTGCAATCTGGGTTACAATCTTGCCCACATGAGAAATGACGTGTTCCCCAACGCAGGTGACGTGAGGAGTCTGCATTTCAGCAGACTCCAACCTGAGTTCTGGAAGCCCTCCTAGAGCATCAGGATTTGCTGGGCTACCCAAGGAGAGCCTCCAGGGTCACGCAGCAGACAATCCGGTTCCTCTCTCCTTATCTAGTTGTTAGGTATCTGATTTTGTTGATGTTTGCATTCTTTTCCTCTAAGTTCTGTGTCATTTAGTCTTTATCAAAGTCCTGATTAAAATATTGAAGAAGCCAAGGTCAATGGAGAGGCCCTCTTGCACACACGGCTATGGATTTCCTTTCAGGATAACAATGATCAACACTGTGTTTAAACAACAGGGTCTCCGTTTAATATGCCGTTGCAGCCTTACTCATCTAGTTTGTCCCCAGAGATAGCTGTGGGCGCCTTTGTCCAATTCCTGCTAAAACCAAGAAGGCCCCCCATTCCTCAGGTCCTGTCTACAAGCCCAGGGGCTGGGCTCAGAGGCGGGAAGCAGAGAGGGGATTTGGGAAGCCGGGGCAGGCAGTATGGAAACGAAAGCTTTAACGGACCCAAGGGATGCATCAAGAGAGGGAAGAAAGCCAAACTGGGAGGAAAGGAAGCCCAGCTCATTAGCCCATCAGGGTAAATGTGTTGAGTAATGTATTTATCTAACCTTTCCCTCTAGGACTCGAGAACCCCCAGACAACGCTGATATCTAACAATTGGAGATCACTAAAAGTGGAGAAAAGACAGGGAACTAGGGGAGGAGGGGCCCTCACCACTCCTTTCTTTCCATCAACCCCTTCACCACTCCTGGTCTCCCGTGGATGAAGGTCATCTCAGAATTGTGTGGCATGTTAGTACTTTTGGGGGGATATTGATTCTTTTCCCTGGGGGAGGACAGTGTGGAACCCAAGAACAGAATTCCTCATTCTAGGCTCCATAAGAAAAGGATTGGGGGCCTTCAAACCAGACCATAAGGAGACACCTGGGTACACGTGAGGCTCAGCCCAGGCGTCACTCTTCTGTGAGACCTCTCCTCCCCGCTCCCCGTGTCCCCTGCGCACACGTGGTCATTGTGCTTGGCACAGTGGATTGTCAGATATTTGTTTTCATGCTCTCACACCTACTGCAAGGCCAGCAGCGTGACGTGACTGAGTGCAGGTACTGGGCCCTTCATCTCTGCATGCCCAGGGCCCAGCATGCACCTGCAGATGCTACCCATTTGCACTATGAAGCCTGGCCCCGGGGTTCCTGGATCGGGCCAGGGTGGCATCATCCCAACTCCCCCTGCCTCCTGTACCCAACCCAAGTTGGAAACGCTCTGTACTGGGTGCCTCATAGTTGCCAAGCATGTAAGTCAAACAAGTGATAGCAAAATAGCTGCGTGCCTAAGAGAAAGATCCAAGTTCCCTTCCAGAGAACTTTGCCTGCACAGCGCATCCCTGCCCTCCAATCAAAGCCAATGAAAACACCCTGTGACGTGCCACCTTGGACTACCCCTCAGGTGACACGAATCATCATGGGTCCAAAGGGCCTTCCTGCAGCCCAGGGATCCAGCAGCTTCCAGCTCAGAGGGCACCTGCCTCTTTGCCTTTGTACTGGCCGTTTTGACGTGGGCACCGACTGAGGGAGCCCTACTGCATACAGGATGCGGACAGAGCCGTGGGCCAAGGCAAAAGGCCTGCCTTCCTGAAGCTTAGACAACACCACTGCATACATAACAGGCCGGAGGGGGTGAGAGAAGACAATGAGAGAGAGAAGGGGAGCAGAGGGCGCTGGGCAGAGCTTCTGTGGGGATGGAGCAGGATCCTGCTCTCCTCCGGGCGCCCCCCCCCCTCAGCCTGCACTTGCCACCCCAGCCTTCACCGCATGTTTCCCTAATTTACTTGTTTATCATATTTATTGCTTATTGCCCTTTTCCCTGCAGCAGAATGTAGCTTTGACTGACTCAGAATTTCTTATTTCTTTGGTTCACGGATATACATCAAGCTTCTGGAATAATGCCTGGCCCAGGGTAGGTGCTCCCTAAGAACTTGGAATATTCGCTCATCACCCCCCCACCCCCATGCCAGACACTGCTCTTTGGTAGGCAAGAAGACCCTTTGTCATGGCAGAAGGGCAGTGGGAATTGCCTCCCTGTCTTCCTAGTCTAAAGCTGATGGGACAAGAAGGTGCCATGGGTGGCTTGGGATTCTCTTTGGGCTCCGTTTCCCTGCCGCCTGACCCCTCTGTCCTCTTTCCTCCAGAGGGTACAGGGCTCGGGGCCTTTCTCATGCAAGGAAGCTGAAGGGGCCCCCAGGCAGGGTGGGCCTGGCCAGAGGCCTGGGGAGATCGGGGGAGGGAGGGCTGGAGAGCCAGCAGAGGGGTGGATGTGCAGGGTGGGTCGGAGCTGAGGTGGGCAGACACAGAACCCCCGCAGAGGCCAGGGGAGGGGGAATCCCTGTCCTTATCCAATTCCCCAGGGGCTCCGTAATGAGCCTCGCAATGCCATTCCATTTTCAACTCTACAAGGCTCCTGGCACTCTCAGCGGTAGGTCTGAGAGAATTAGCTGCCTGAATGCCTAATGACAGACAAGGGTAGCAGAGAGAGGGAGGGAGAGAGAGAGAGAGAGAGAGAGAGAGAGAGAGAGAGAGAGAGTAAATAGGTGGGGGGGGGGATGGGGAAGTCACAGTGTCTTCTCTCTCTTTGGAATCTTTGGTACCGTATTGCAGATTTCCAAGTTCAGGGTCCCCTGGGGCCACAGCCACACCTCCCTGCTCCATCACTTCCTGGCTGGGGAACCCGTTTTCCCAAGCAGGCTTTTGCAATGCCCTCTCCTCAAGCTGAGTGCTCATGCCCGCCATGCCCAGGTGCCCTTATTGGCTGTGATCCACTCCAGGCTGACACAGCCACCTTCTCCAAGGACCCGGTCACTCTATGGACAACAGGTATTCTCTGAGGCCGATCAGAGTGAAGTCCAGAGTGGTACGTTTCTTCCTTGCCTCCTCCACTTGTGAAACTATGAAATTATTCACTGAGCAGATCAATTATTCAGATTATTCACATGGAGTCTAAATTAGACTGTATCGCCTCTGGCGAGGCTTTGAAGTCCTGCCTTACCTGACTCCCCGACCCCCGCCAACTTTCCACCCGACTCCAGCCACTTGCTTTCATGCCAGGCCCCTTCTCCCCGTCGCACGCTCCCCTCACTGTGACCTGCTGCCTCCAAGCTTGAGCCCCGTCTGATTCCCCTGTCTGAAGCCCAGCCTTCTCTCTTCATCCTAATCCAACTTGCCCTTCAAGATCTCACTTTTGAACTTGGACTTCACCCTGAGCGTCCCTGGGCTTCTGCAGCAGTCGGAAGTATTTTAGAATTAGAAGCACACAATTTTGCTTTTAATTGCACTCCGTTTGCAGACGCTGCCTTCCCACAGAGTTGTTAAGCAACACAAGGGCAGGACACTGTTGGACTCCTGGGGTCCTCTCACATACCAGCTCGGCGCGCACCATGAAGACGCCGTGGAATCCGTGCAGCCTGGCTCCCGCCTGCTTTCCCGCTCTTCCTCTTTCCCTTCATCCCAGCTTCCTCCAGCCTCTCCGCCCTCAATCACTCTCCCTCCCGTCCCAGGCATTAGACAAGCCAAGGTGGAGATCAGACTTGGGATTTTAGAGATCAGGCTGGCTGCAGGCAGTTCTCCAGAAGGGATTATGGTGAATTTGGGCCAACTCAGAGGAGACCATTGCAGCAAACCAGGTGAGAGGTAGCAGGTACTGGCCTGAGGAGCCGTGACAGAGATGGAGAGAAGTGAGTGGATTCAAGACACCATAGGAAGGAAGATGCTGATCCATTTGTCTAGCGCTATATAGTTTCCATAGCACGTTCCCATCTACGACCTCCACTGACCCTCAACCACCCATGAGACAGACTAAGTAGCATAATTAGGAGATGAAACAGGCCAGGGGAGGGGAGCTGGTTGCCCAAATCCACACAGCTGGTTAGCACAGGGTTGGGTTTCACATCCGGGGTCTTGGACTCCACGGTCAGGGCTCTCTCTCCAAGTTTCATGTCCCTGGGACTCAGTGCAGCTGAAGAACCCCGACTCCGACTACCTGCCTCGGGCTATTTACACAGTTCCAATTGATTTGTTGTAACCTGTAATTATTTTGCTGAATGTTTTTTTTTCACGCTTCATTTGTGTTCTCCTCTCTGGCAGACAGGCTCCAGGAAAAAGTAGCTTGGGAGATAAGTTGGAAGCCAGAGAAGCTGTATGTGATTCTGGGACAGAAGCTGGGGGGACCCCTGGTATGTTTCCCCACCCCTTGTCTATCTCCATTGGCTCTTCCTTAGTCTCTTCCTCCCCAGGGTGGGAGGTGAGAGCTTGGGGGCCAGGTGGGACAGAGTCTGTCTCTGGCCTGAAACCTCCCAGTAGGGGGCAGAACTTCCAGCATCCTGATTCTGTCTTTCCACCATGTGACTATTTCCTATTGACACATCTGTCAAGCCACTGACATTTTGGAAGAAAAATAGAGATGTGCATATTTTAAGGAGACTCTGAATTTTGTAAATGAGGTATGCCTCTGAGACCCGCCCTCCTAGCTGAGGAGACGTTCCTCAAGGTGGTTTGAACGTTCAGAACAACAGACTGTCTTCTGTGACCAAAATTGTGGCCAGAGTCCTCTGAGTCCTTTGCTTCACGAGGCCTGAACTTGGATTTCCCTCTCTGGCCCTGGAGAATCCAGTCTGAGCAAGAATCCTGCTTGCTCACTTTATGGAAAACCCCTTACTCTTGGTATCTTACCACGCTGAAGAGCTCATCGCCCTGGCCTACCTTCAGCAATGACCAAGTCAGCTTAGCTAGAAAATCTTTATCCTCTTTTTTTTTTTTCTTGTGATATTGGGGATAGAACTCATGACCTTGTGCATGCTAGGCAAGCGCTCTACCACTGAGCTATATTCCTAGCTGCATTGATTTTTTTTTTTTTAATTTTATTGTGAGATGAGGTCTCACTAAGTTGTTGAGGCTGGCCTTGAACTTGTGATCCTCCTGCCTCAGCCTCCCAAGTAGCTAGGATTAGAGGTGTGCACCATCATACCCAGCTAAAACCTTTGCCCTTGATGTTTCTTTTTCAATAATTTTCCACCCACTAACCCCCTGTCCTGCTCCTTAGTTATAAATTCCCACTTCTTGTTGGAGTCAGAGCGGAACCTAATCTCTCTCTCCCACTGCAAGACCCCATTAAGTGAAGTCTGCCTTTCCATCTTTAACAAGTGTTTTCTTCTTCTTTCTTTTTCTTTAACAGGGATGGCCACCAGATTGAGAAAGCTTGGGGAAAGGCCTCTGCCTATTTCCTGAACTGATGGGGTCGCTGTGGGAGGTCAGGGCTGCTCACAGCCTAAATCTTCCATGCCAACTTAACTGTGGCAACCCAGACCCTGGAAGAGGGTTTGCTGCATCCCGTATTTAGAGGTTAAGTGTTCTGATATCTGCAACTTACTCTGAAATGTGTCAAAAACAGAAGAAAAGACTGGTGGAGGGTAGATGGACAGATTCGTGGTAAGACAGATAGAGCAAAATGGGAGTTCTAGAATCTGGGTTGTGGGCATATGGGTGTTTGCTGTGTTATTTTTTAAGCTCTTCTGAATGTTTCCATTTTTCATAATAACATATTGAGGGAAATAAATCACCTAGGGAGTCACACCCACCTCATGTTGCACGTCACCCTGGCTCGAGGGAGTTTCATCATTCGTCATTGGGTTCTTTCTCAAGCCCCCTTCGGGAGAGTTCTCGACCAGACACTTGAAGACACAGAATAACAAGCAGATAGGCAGTCCCCGCTTTGGGGAAATTTAGGATATTGGGAGAAAATAGGATGGAATCATCAAATTAACGTCAGTAAAGACAGCTCTTTATTTTCTGGTCTAATGGATGAGAAATAGGGGTGTGATTTCCTGTAACTATATATTGTCCCCAAACCTCTTCTGCTTGACTTTGATGAGGTAGAAAGGCCCATTACAGGAAAGAGACAGAAGTGGGGAGTAGGGGAGGCTGCACCTGGCAGGTGACTGGAGATCCGGTAGTGGACAGTCACCTGCAGGTCCCTGAAGGTGGGTTGAAGAACAGATCTGACTCCTTCGGGGAGGGTTGGGATCAGCGTACTAGGAACCAGGTCAGTCTCAACTCTGCCAGTCTACGTCAGCTTGAACAAGTCACTGTTTTCTTGGAAACTCAACCTCCTCTTTGTTAAGATTGCTGAACTATCACCTGCAAGCTGAATTCTACCTGAGGCTTGTATATCTATATATCTATATAAATATATATATCTATATATTAGTTGTCAATGGACCTTTATTTTTAGTTATTTAAATGCGGTACTGAGAATCGAACCCAGTACCTCACACTTGCTAGGCAAGTCCTCTACCACTGAGCCACCACCCCACAACCCCTGGGGCTTGTTTTTATATAGCCTATGAGCTAAGCCTGGTTTTTATATTTTTAAAAGGTTGAAAAATATTAAAGATTAACACTTGGTGACACATGAAAATCATGTATAATTCCAACTTCGGTGTCCATCAGTAAAGTTTATGGGAACGTAACCACGCTCCTTTGTTTATCTGTTGTCGGTGGCAGCGTCCAACCCTCCCCAGTGCAGACCTGGGATGGCCACAGCCCCGTGGCCTGCAAAGTCCAAAATATTTACTCTCCAGCCCTTTCCGGAAAATGTTGGCCAACTTGGTGTGACAAGGTTCAACCACAACTTCACTATTCCGCCTGGCTCCCTGGAGCCGGGAGGTGTGCAAGGGAAGGTGGGTGTGGACACGGTGGGATGGGTTCCCCTCACGACTGCTGCAAGAATAATATGAGAACAGGGCTTCCTGAACTGTAAGATTCCAGAATTTGCAAGGTGTCTCTCCTGCCGGATCAGAATTCTCTCAGTCCCAAAGGAGACAGAACCTGGGAGGATTGTCATATGACAGAGAAAATTAACAAAGGGAGGCGAATTGGGTATGCAGAAATAGATGCCCCTATTTTAACCCCAAGGCCTCCCCATGGCAAAGGCCTCAACTGCACACTTGGCAAACGTTGGGAAGGACAGCTCTGGAAAGCAGGAGAGGGGAGAACCAAGCATTTTTTTTTTTTAGTAATCTAGTGAGCCCATTGTTAAAACACACCATTATTAAGAAGTAAAGGAGCCAGGTGTGGTGGTGGACACCCGTTCTCCCAGCAACTCGGGAGGCTGAGTCAGGAGGATCACAATTTTGAGGTCAGCCCCAGTAACTTAGTGAAACCTAAGCAACTTAGCCAGACCCAATCTCAAAAAAATAAAAGGATCTGGAGGTGTGGCTCAGTGGTGAAGCACCGCTGCGTTCAAACCCTAGTACAAAAAAAAAAAAAAAAGTAAACGACCTAAACTTATTATTCAATATATTAAAAGCAAAGGTAATAAATACTAAAATTCCATGGTTTCCTGGTTCTTTGCCTCTACTCTCTGTGCTCGTGAGGTCATTTATGTCTGTTGTATCTGTGTGGTGAAAATACCATGCAGTGCTGTGTGACTGTGACCCTCCTCCCGGCTCTGCTCAATGATGTCATAGTTGGTATCTTGCAATTCCTCATGGTGGGAGTATTTACACCTGGGCAATTGGCAAACCCTGCAAATCAGGCATCCCCCCCTCCACCTCAGAGCTGGTTGATAAACATATAGCAGCACCATGCTTGGAAAGGGCTTCCATTTCCAGGAGATTCAGAAGGGTCAAGGGCACTTTGGTACCAAGAAGCCTTTAAAGCAGAGAGGGGACTAAAGACCCAGTAGTTTTCCTGGGGAACCCAAGGGCCTAAGTGTCTGCAACCATTTCTATGGTCACAGCTTTTGTTCACACCTCCCAAAAGCTGAGGTCTGCTGGGGCTGTAGCTCAATGGTAGAGCACTTGCCTAGCATACATGAGGCCCTGGGTTCCACCCCCAGCATCGAAAGGGAAAAAACTATGATAACCAAATACCAAGGTGGCATAGAGTTGGGGACACAAGGCTGGGGGAGGTGAAGGACTTGCCTGGAGTCAAGCAGCATCTCAGTGCCAGGGCCAGTGTCCTGACTGCTTCTCCCAGACTGGCTCTGCCCAGGACAGTGATGCTGTGTTGCCAAGCACCTGCCAAGGACAGGAAGTGACCTGCATTGCTGCTGTCTTCCCAGCAGTGGGAACCTGTCCCCCTCCCTCCTGTGAGCAGAGTCTGACCCCCCACCCCCAGTTGCTCATCGTCCCTCTTTCTCCAGCCCTTCAATAATCTCTCTGGACTTTTCTTTTTCTAAAAACAGGCTCTTTAAGTGCCTAGGGAGTGTTCAGCACATAAAGTGTTTGGCACACTCGTAGAGTGACTGAGTACAGCTCTGGGAAGCTCCAGATGGCTGTCTTGGAGACAAGCTGTCAAAGTGTCTTTGTTCTTCAAAGAGGGGACTTTGCAGCTTGACTTTGTGGACTCCTTCAAGCGCAGTGCTTCAGAGAAGACGCGTGCCAGGAAGCAGGAGGTGGTGTTCTGGAGGAGGTCCACTCGCTAAGCTCGGGGAATGGCTTGAGGCCATGGCTCCCACTTGGGACTCTGTAAAACAGTGGACTCTTGGAAAGTCATGTCTGGAAGAAACCTAAGAGACCATCACACCAGAACTTCATTTTACCGATGAGGAAACTGAGGCCAGGAGGAAATAATGAGAAAAAAAGGAACCTTGCTAGAAAGTGATGGTGTTGGGTTCGAATTTAGTGTGCTATTGTAATATAGTAATAAATGCATATTTGGGGGCTGGGGTTGTGGCTCAGTGGTAGAGCACTCACCTAGCATGGGTGAGGCACTGGGTTTGGTCCTCAGCACCACATAAGGATAAATAAATAAAGGTATTGTGTCCCTCTACAACCAAAACATTAAAGAAAAAAAGAAATATATATATATATATATATATATATATATATATATATATATATATATATATATTTGGTCTCTGGCCCCAGTTCCTGGCACACAGCTCCCCAAACCCTGTATCACCAAATGATGAAATTGATTTCTGTGTGCTAATGAGATGACTAGTGGCTGGAGTCCCCTAGAGAGCTTCCACATGGAGGCTGGTCACCAGAAGGATCGAGTCATGATTAGAGTGTTGGGACTTTCAGCCACATCTTCTAGGAAGAAGAGTAGATTGAAGATTAAGTTGATCTCCACGGTCAATGCAATAATCAATCATGGCGATTAATGAAGCCTTCGTAACCACCCAAAGGACTGGGTTCAGACAACTTCTGAATGACTGGACATGTGGGTGAGCTGGAAGGGGGTGTGCCCAGAGAGGGAAGGGGCATGGACGCTCCTTCCCACTTACCTCACCCTACGCCTCTCTCCACCCAAATCCTTGGTAATATTCCTTACTTAAAGAAAAAAAAAAAAAACCAGGGCTGGGGTTGTATGTAGCTCAATGGCAGAGCGCTTGCCTTGCATATACAAGGCCCTGAGTTCGATCCTCAGCACGACATAAAAACAATTAAGTAAAATAAAGGTATTGTGTCCAACCACAACTGAAAGATAAACATTTTTTTAAAAATCAGCAAATATATGTAAGGTGTATCCCTGAGTTCTGGGAGTCACAATAGCAAATTAATCAAACCCCCAGATAGTGGGAGCCCCAATCTTACAGCTGGTAGGTCAGAGCACAGGTCACAATGTGGGCCTTGAGGCTGGCGTCTGAAGTGAGGGCAGACTTGTGGGTCTGATCCCACCCTCTGTGGGGTCTGATGCTCTCTCTAGATAGACAGTGTCAGAATGGAATGGAATTATAGGATACCCCGTTATTTCTTCTGGAGAATTAGTTGGTATGGGGTGGGGGAGAAAACCCCACACATCTGGTCACAGAAGATGCAGTGATAAGAAGTAATTTTTTTTTTTAAAGAGAGAGAGAGAGAGAGAATTTTTTAATATTTATTTTTTAGTTTTCGGTGACACAACATCTTTATTTCATTTTTTCGTGGTGCTGAGGATCGAACCCAGCGCCCTGCGCATGCCAGGCGAGTGCGCTACCACTTGAGCCACATCCCCAGCCCAGAAGTAATTTTTAAAGAAAAAATTTTGAGGGCGTACTGGGGATTGAACTCAGGGGCACTCGACCACTGAGCCACATCCCCAGCCCTAGTTTGTATTTTGTTTAGAGACAGGGTCTCACTGAGTTGCTTAGCCCCGTGCTGTTGCTGAGGCTAGCTTTGAACTCTTAATCCTCCTGCCTCAGCCTCTGAAGCCCCTGGCATTACAGGTGAGTGCCACCGCACCAGGCCAGTATTTTTTTTTTTTTTATTCAGACCAGATCTCCTGAAAGTTTGTTCTTTTCTGAGAGCAGAAATAGAATTTGGTCTCTTGACTTCAGGTACAATTTGAAGTTTATGGAACCATGACTCCTTTAAAAAAGTAATCTATTATATATATATTCCTGGAATTGTGCTGAGCATTATGAAATGAATTCAATAAGCAGAGTTGATTCAGTCTCTAGTCTGACTTACAATTTAAAACTGAGAGATGGGCAGAGGAAAGGGCTAGGCTGAGACAGTGGACAGATGGGTAGATGGATGGAATTTGCAACTGGTGATGTTACCTGTGAACAGAGTGTGTTGAGGAAGGCATGGTCTTGAGAAACAAAGACCTGGGTTCAAATCCTGCCTCTACTATTAATTGGCTGTATGACCTTGGACAAACTGCTCAGCTTCTCAACATCTCAAATGACTATAAATTGCAGATGGTGGAGCTGGGGTTGTGGCTCAGTGGTAGAGCGCTTGCCTAGCATGTCTGAGGCACTGGGTTCGATTCTCAGCACCACATACAAATAAATAAAATTAAGGCCCATCAACAACTAAAAAATAGTTTTAAAAATAAAAAAAATAAATTGCAGATGGTGATATTCATTAATCACGGATAGATGTGAGAATTAAAGAGATGTCTGTAGAGTCCATAGGAGCACCTGGGCCACCACAAATGCTTAACTGTCTCTTGGTGAGAGACAGAGCAAGATATAGGGGGTAGGTAGGGCCAGAAACATGTGAATTAAGGGAATATAATTCCCCTAGATATAAACAGAAAGCAATATAATGGAATATAATGACTTCTCTACTTGCTGTTGGTCATGATAATGGTAAAAAAAAAATCCTCATATTTACATTGTTCCTTATAATTTATAGACCTTCCTGAGAGACAGAGCAATGTTAGTTCCATTTCATGGGCTAACATGCACTCGTATTTATTTAGTTAAGATTTACTGTTCCCGACATGTTCTAGCTTATGAGCCTATACTGATTGTATTAGTTTGTTTTGAT